ATCCCTAAATAGAAACGAGATCGTACCATGAAATTATTTTATGAATTGATTTATCTTTTGAACAGGTTTACATCGTTCTGAAAAGAAATTCTTGTGTCCACAAATCTCTCACAAGTAATATTTTTGTCAGGTCTATTTCTCCTTCACAATTCTCTTCTTCATTTCATTCACTAATTGTATAATTTATTTTACCCAATCATGTTTGGGTATTCCTTTTTTCTTCTTAATTCTCAGATAACGATTCAAAAAATTTCATGGAATTCTATCTCATGGAGTTGATAAGTATCATTCTCAAATGTGTTAATTTATGTTCAATGTATTATGCTTTACCTAATGCTGTGAAACATTGAATCATACAATCCTTATGGGTTCGAAATAGTCTTAATTTTGGCATTAGTATATAAGAAAAAGTTACAGGAAATAAATTGCACGGTTCGTTTGGATATTTAGTGGCTTCATTTGAGGATATTCTGGGAGTCCATTTCCTTCGATGCATATGCGATGCATATTAGTCTACCTAAAATACATCCTGCTCTCTTAGAAAATATCCAATTAGCAAGCCCATAGAGAAAAAAAATATTAAAGTGAATTGTAAATATAAAAACATTGAAGGTAGTAACTAAGATTCATGATGTAGGTGCAATATAAGGTATTATACCACATCTTTAAAATATCTCTAACGTTAATAAGAAATACTTAGAACAAAATATTACATACGGAGTCTTGGATCGTGATGACAACAAACGACGCGGGCTTAGGAAGACTTTTCTTGCAGTGAATAGGAAACATAATTTACAAACTACAATATTTTTTTTGGAATACTTTCATGAGGAAAAGAAATAAGGAGGAAATGCGAAATGAAATGAAATGCAATGAAATGCGAAAACGTGTTAGCCATATCCAATTCGCTGAAAACTCGTACACACGATCTTGTAAGACAACATTTCTTAGAGTCTTCCGTATTTAATATTTGACATATCGAGCGATTTTCGCTAGAGAAACACATGTAGAGATGCTGGAAGGAACTTTTGATTTGGTGGAGGGATAGGGGAGCAGCGTCTTACAGCTCACAACCTACTTCCCGCGAGCCAGATCCGTCCCGGGTAGCAATTTAGACTGACCCAGAAAACAAATACAAAAATGTAGAGAAATACTTAACAATTAAATTCCTAATAAATAATAAGGCCTAAATACGATTTAAGAAAACTACTAGTATTGGCTGAAAAAATCAATTTGCGAGGAATTATGTTCAGTTCATACATTCGAAAATACTACTACCAGGGACTACCTTTTTTTCTCATAAAGGAAGAAACGCCAAAGTTTGGACCACCAAGAAAAATCTTAAATGTGTTACTATTAATGGAGGATCCAATACATTTGGAATGAAGACCGGCTTGAAAAAAAATAGAAAAGCTATTCAGGAAGTTGAGAAGCAGAAGCCAATGATTTTCCACTCTATAATTCACTCTTAACATGAACAGGTTCTGTGTGATAAATGCTTACAATGTGATGAGTGTTATTACTTTGAATTTCATCCGTGTATCAAAAAGTATTTTTATCATAATCAGAAAGTATCAAAAAGTATTTTTATAACTGTTTGGTTATTAGCTAAAAAACAGTTTTTCAAATTTCACGATACTTTTTTAATGTTTAGTATATAGAAAAAAATCTCATATTACACTTCTGATACTAATAAAAGTGGCAAATCTGGAATTAATACACTGATTTTTAATTGGTATTTTTAGGTTGTTCTCTCCCAATTCTTACTAAAACAATTTAGCCTTCAATCAAAATAGATTGGAGATCCGCAGCTTAAGGTACGATCTGTTTTTCCAAGAGTTCATGAGTCACTAGTTTAGCGTGTTGCCATCGATGGGTATTCTCAAGTTGAACATTTTTATTTGGACTACAGAATGTATAAGATAAATTTTAAACATAATACAGTTGCCGGACTCGTCCATACTTGGGCACAGAAACTTACTGAAAAAATTATCGACAGATATACTTTTTAAAAAGTTTTGTTTCTTTACAAAAATATATTTAATTATATCCCCAATGTGATGACCAACTTGTAATATTTTATGTTACGCCTGAGAGGCATCGCAGCAATACTGAAGGTGCTTTCAATCCCCCAAACATGTTTTTTTCTAGAATTCTTCTAGAATATTGTAGGAATCAGCTAAAAGTAATGCCAATCGATTCGTCTGCTCCAGAGGAGTTGTATGAGCTATTGACCAACTCCGTAGATAATCTTACAACCTCTAAAACGCATTGTACCTGCTTAATCCCCAGCTCTCGAGATTTTGGCCAGCGTGCTCGCTTCACATGACGCGACCCTGGGTTCGATTTCCGGTCGAGGCAAGATTACGGTGCGGGTTTTTCTTGCAATAATCCAGTGTATGTTGCTGTGTGACGATGAGAAAACTCACTTCTCAGGTTGAAAAGATCAGAATACGCCGTAGGGACGTCTTCATGATAACAACACTCACCCCACGCACGGGTTAAACCCATGGCTGCGAGTCCGGGACGCTGCTGGTAGGCCCTGGCCCCTCCGCGGGCTGTTGCGCCATGTACAGACAGACCATCTGCGTTTTCCATCATGATCATTACATCATGATATTTCTAGAACTTTATATAATGTTCTAGAATTATTCGAAAAAATAAGTCAGTTCCCTTACCCGTAGACTCATCGAATGACACCTAGAGTGGGACGGGAAGATATCATGGCATGAACAGGCATGAGAACACACGCAGGATCCTCGATCACTGAATGAATGATTGCCGATTCCATATAAATGTCTATCATCAAAACTACTTACAAATGCAATGTTAATTTTTCGCAGTTTTCTGTTTTTGAGAGTTCGCCAAAAACGAGACTGTGCCATTTTTTGTGTCTAATGCGAAGGGGAAAAATAAAAAAAAAACATTTGGAACTCTTTTTGAGAAAAAATGCCTATATCTCACCTAAAATAAAGTGAAAAGTACTCGTATTTTCGAAAAATTGTAAATGACATTATTTATATGTCATGTATAATATAAGTCTTCGAGGAAGAGATTTCATTAAGAAAAATCTCCATCTTCAATATTGAAGTTTTAGAGAAACGACGAGAGTTTTGAACGTTTTCACTTTTCGTAAATTCAGACCTACCCCAATTTTTACGTTTCTATTGCCCCATATGAAGAAAAGTTTAATATAGTAGGAGTATTATTTAGAAAACTTTTAAAATGTTATTGAGACGTAGTGTAAAGTACCCCCTGATCAAAATGTCCGTTTCAAACTCGGAATGTCATTAGTTCACCCAGATCAATCTGAGAATATCCATTTTGGCGAAAATCATCTGAACGGTTTAGGCGCTATAAACAGACGGGCGGAAAATCGCCTTTAATTTCAGCAGAATTTCGCGAAAACTACTTATATGTTCGAAAATCGTTTAAGACTTTATTTGATGATCTGTCATAGAAGTATAGTATTAAGAAAAAACTGTCTTTAATATTTTAACTATGCCAAAAAATGGAACTTTTCCCATTTTGGAACATTTATAGAGTTCAACGAAGATTAGATATATGCCATTTTTTAAAAGTCTTTTGCTCTTTCCGAGGCAAAAGTTTTATTAAAACATTTAGAGCATTTTTAAGTATATTTTCAAAATGTTTTGAGGTTTTTTGTAATGTATCCCTCAAAATCAAAATATCCAATTTCATACTTGCAGGGTCGTGAGTTTGGCCAGTTCAATCGAGTAATATCCCTTTTGGAGAAAATCGTCGGAACGGTTCAGGGCGCTAGCGTTGAACTCACGCACACAGACGGAAAGGGAGATTTGTAGTTGTCAACCGATTTTTCGGATATACTCAAGATTGACTACACATGTTAGAGGGAGTAATTTACTACATAAAGGGTCAAGATTTGTCTACTTTTTCGATACTAGGGTTACACAATACGAGATTTTATGTCGAAAAATTGCCGATTTTTGCCGAAGCATTACATTTGTTCTCTCTACTATGTAAGTACGTAGAATAGCAAGAAAATAAATATTTGAAAAAAAAGATGTTATATTTCTCTTTAAGACAAATTCGTCAAGTATTCACATTTTTTCGAAAACTTGCTTTTCGGTGTTGTGTCACTGATGCCATGCAGTGATTTTCTAAAAAAATGTTTTAAGCAAATATTTCAACCAAAACATTGTATTATGTTTATATTTGTTAGTCGAATGTAATAATAATAATAATAATAATAATAATAATAATAAATATAATTTTCGATTATTCCCATTTAACGAGAGCCTTTAAACTTGAATGCCTTAATGATGATTGTCTAGACATCTGAATTATCATGTATGTTACTGTAGCGTCGTGCCACGTTCAAACCGCCGGATGTTAAACAAAGAGCGGAGTGATGACGCACTGAGACTTTCCGTGGACGAAGCGGGCCCAGAGCGGCTTTATGGAGGAGGCAATGGGGCGGCGGGTAGAGCCCAAGGGCCTATATAAAGGCCAGGAGAACAATGCCCCAGTCTTCTTGTGCTAGCGGCGTCGGCGACAGGTGAAGCGCGTGTCTGTGCGTGTAGGTGCACTAGGGCGAGGGGTCGGCAATTCATTGTCGTGACTTGCGAGACGCATAGATGGTCTCAAAGTAGAGCGGCTTCATACAGGAAACATTGGTAGTATGTTGCGGTGTGGTAGCCGTTCTTAAATTATCTCTCCTTGTAGTGGGGCTATTTATTTAGTTTATTGTGAGCAGGGTAGTTGTTAAATTGAGACTACGGTCTAGATTGTTACTAAATCTACTGATTTACAAACCACTCTCGTCTGTGTTCGATTACACCCGTATGACGCCACATTACGTACAATGCACCGACAAATTATGACTATAATGCCAAAATAACGAATTTAATGACTCCGCGGACAGATAACGATCTGTGATGAAACATGACTACGGAGGTCAGTTTTATATGAGTGTAAACAACAAGAAGTATAAAATAATGGAGGTATCAGGTTCTTACCATGTTCTCGAAGCCGTAGTAATTGTGGATGAAGAGCATGTTGCGCCACCAAGTGGTCTTGCAGAGTTCAGCGTGCTTGCGCACCACCAGGTTCCAATGAGGACCCGATCCTAGCCAGGGCAACACCAACGTGCACCACATAATAAGAGCTGCTAGAGAAGGCAGCAACCTGTGCATTGACAGATGCATTAGTATTTATGAAAGGCAATTCTAAATGCCATTAACAGCGTGTAAAAGTGACACAAAACTGTAAAAATAATACGAATATCTGTTCAAAATCATCTCATCATTATGTTTTCAATGCCTTACTCGTATGCATTACTCGTACAAGTATTTTTGCTCAAATATGTACTTCGGAATATGCATTCAAAAATAAGAGACTGTTACTAAATTAAAAGAATTTTCAGTAATGCTTGTCCTGCGTAAAAATAAGTATAAAAATTCATTTTTTAGCAATATAATCTTTAGAAGAATAATAACTACAAAAATGAACCTCTAGAAATTACAAAACATAATTATCGTAGACATCAATTTAGTTTTCACTAGAAAATTATTTTCAGTTAATAGTTTGTCAAATTCTCTGGCTTCCGGGATGTCTCAACACCGCCCTCCATGCAAGTAGAGATACATGATGAAGGAATTGAAACGAATGCTTCGGTATTGTACGTGTTAATTTATCGTTTTCAGGATCCCTTAAGCATGGGAGATACGGAGAATTATCCATGCTTAACGTCCATCACAAAACAGGAACCCTTGGTATGTGCACTCTGGCATTCCAGTCCACGCCACATCTGCCGACCATTCAGCCACATGTACTGGAAAACAGAGACATGGAATCGTCATTTTAAGCTTGTAGTGTTAGAGGTGACAATTCAGAAGAAACCTTTAAAATATTTTTTCGTCATCTTATTTAATTAATTGTAATTACAGAAATATTTTTTAATTGAGGAGAATATTAATTATACCTATCATGTTACTTCTGTATATTTTGCAATATGAACAGTAATATCTTGGATAACAAAGTAGAAATACTTAAAGAACCTCTAGACATCTTATTCATCCGATAAAAATCAAATCGATAACACAGGTCTGTAATTAACAAATCCTCTGCAAAGTTATAGCGGATTTATACAGATTTTGGTGTGCTGAATTAAAAAAAATTATGAACAAATTCCATCACCCATCAATTCTGTACAAATCAGTATTTCAATTTCGTGTCTACAGAAAAAATGTAGTTTTCTGTCATTCCATGCGACAGTGACGGAAACAGTGTCTACAAATTAATGGCTGATTTATATGGATTTCGGTGGGCTAAATTCAGAAAAAAATAATGAAAAATTTCTATCACCCATCATTTGCGTACAAAGTAGCATTTTAATTGTAAGGTCCAGAAAATAAATACATTTTTCTGTCATGCCATTTGTACTGCTGCTCTTGGTTGTTCTGAATCATGAATCAATTTGTGAAGGCCCTTCCACAAGAAGGAGTGTGCTTTCAATACTTGCTCACAAATTTCTAGGGACTTTCAAGAGCTAAAATAAAAGAAGATGTTTTCATGGGTCCAGATATTCGGAAATTCTTTAAAGATGAAGAATTAAAAAAAATGAAAATTGTTCACAAAGAGGCTTTAATTGCATTCAAATATATTGTAGAGAAATTTCTTGGAAACTATAAGAACAAAGTAAAAAATTTTAAGCTCATAGTGGTCATATCAATGAAATTCAAAGATACGGGTTACACAATGAGCCTGAAGATTCATTTCCTACATTCTTATTTGGACTCCTTTTCCGAAAATGTCGTTGCTGTTAGCGAAAAACATGGCAAAAGATTCCATCAAAATGTCAAAGTAATGGAACGCAGATACCAGGGCAAATGGGACGTCAATATGATTGCGGACTACCGGTGGATGCTATACAGAGAAGTACTATATGTGTCATGCAAAAGGAAAGGTGGTAAACGGAGCTTTGATGAAAAACAATAACGATACAACAAAACCTAAAGCTAGTGAATTCTCTGAATGATTTCGTGCATATACCATTTTTCTTGTAATCCATTTAATTTTAATTTTAATATATGTTTCTATAACAACTGAATTAATGTATTTTCCCATATACTCAAAAAGACTTAGTGAAAAAACGTATGTGATAGAAAAGAATGGAGTTTATCTTTGAAATCAGCATACAAAATTATATAAACTTCAAATGAAATTTCTCAATTTTCGATAACCTACATTTTGCAGGACCGTGTAATTGATTTTCCGAGACGGGCAACGTACTATCTATTTTTTGTTTAATTAATTATGCACTTATCCTGAAAACAATGGATCAGAATCAATAATATATAATAATTTAATTTATTAAAAATACAGACCCAAAATTATAAATATCATATCACTAAAACAGGTCAGTGGTTCGCACTACTGCAGAAGTACGAAATGCTTACGATTCTAACGTTGAACGAAGACAGAGCAAACTACCTAATAAACATGTATATCTACAATATATCAATCGAAAATGAACGATCAGAAAACTGGTGTATCCCATCATTTGGGAAGAATACTATGTAAGATGAGAAGTCTTATTAACACGAGACAGGAGCGGATTCATACAAGAGTCCTTGTGAGAGAGCGGAAATTTTCGGAAAAAACTGAGGCATACATTCAACAAGTCCATTTGACTCAACATATTTAATTTCAACAAGAATGTTGTTTTATGCCCGATATTTAAGTAACGTAATATGCTTTGCAGATAAATATTTCCTAAAGTATTAGAAAGTTTACTAAATTCTTTAAAATTACATCATATTTTAAGGGTAGAGCAATGTCCTTACGGAGTAAGAAAGAGGGAGAATTACTGTACTTTTCCTTGTATCTGTGAATCTATCACTGCTTATCAAGCATTCAAGGTTAATTCGAATCAGGAATGTTACTATATTTATTTTCCTCAGTGACAGAACTCCTTGTAAGAGTAATAATAAACTACGAAAGAAATACTAAATAAATACGGCGATTTTGTTTATAATAATGCTAATGATAACCAAGTAATTGCATCTAAAAATATTGATATTCATTCCGCTTTTTTAGCCATCTCATCATTGAGATGGTTAGACGAAGCGCTGAGTTTGGTTAGAGACAGCTTTGTCGCTGACTCCGCACCTTTGACCGTGATGTCTTGGGACTCAAGTCCCGACGGTGACTGATATTCGATTCGATATTCGTTATATTCTTAGGTTGAGTTCAGCTGCTGTCTGAAGATCGCTGTTTTCTAGTGACCACCTACACTGATTGATAGTTTTCCGTGGTTGGTCCGATCCAAGCGGTGGGCTGAACAGTTACTCTTTCGAACGGACCGCACCTGATCTCTTGTTCCTCTTCCTCGTCCAATCCTTTCTTTACCCACACACGTACACTTAATCTACTACACTATCACAAAAATTTCGGGAGGCAATCGGGAGGCTGAATTCGAACCCTTGGACCTCCCGGTCACAGTCGATGCAGAGTAAGCGGCAATGAAGACAGAGCAAACCTCAGCCGCTGCGTATTTACTTTCGCGGAATAGTCTTATTAAATACCACCCATGTATTGTAAATTTCCAGAATAATTACCTTGTCGATACGCGAATTCAAATTTTCAAGCCTTTTGGTAGTAATAACTGAGGCATATAATATAAATAAAAATGGATGTTGGTATATATAAGAGCAGTTAACTCCTACATCGTGTGACCAATAGAGATGAAAGTTGGCCCAACTACGTGTTTTTTCACCCAGAAGGTTTATGTGCTGTTAATTTTGTTGTAAGTCCACTAGATGGCGCTGTATAAAAAAACTAAATATTCATGACAAATGCAACTCACAACACCCGGTAACATTCTTGAATCTAGGAGTTGAAGCGTTCTAGCTCAATAAAAACTAAAATTTTGAGGCTAGAGGCCTCAAAAAAGTTTCTTAGACAGCAATCTACAGTGTGAGATTTTCTTGATCATTATATTACATTTTTGCTGCTCTGGCGCTTCATGATATTACTCCTCTTGCTCAGAGGCGTGCAGAATCTGCAACTAAATGTGAATGACATACACACAGAGGCAGAGGCAGACAGACTGAGGTAGGGACAGAGAGAGACGAGAGAGAGACGGAGAGAGAGGGAGACGGAGGCGGAGAGAGAGACGGAGAGAGAAAGGAAGGGAGAAAGGAAGAGAGAACGAGAAAGAGGGAGATGAAGGGCAGAACATCGTCTGCCGGGATCGACTGAGGCTGTTACTGTGCTGTTATTCTGGTGGCGAGCATGAGAATCAAAAACCAGTTGGTAGCGGTAGACGCCCAGGAGGTGCTAATTTCAAAAATTACCAACAATGTAGCCCATGACGTGAGTGATGTATTCAAACTCCGGGTATTAGAAACAACAAAATAATAATACAAACAAAAGTAATAGTATTAATAACAATAATAATAATAATAATAATAATAATAGTAATAATAATAATGAGGAGGAAGTTTTTATTGATATAACTTGAATCGTAACCGCCCGAGTTTGCAAGCAAAGCAGGCACCTTGGTTCTCGAAAGATCCTGGTGTGCGCTGTAGAACATCTTGCTAAGCGAGAGACGTGAAAGATAATAATAATAATAATAATAATAATAATAATAATAATAATAATAATAATAATAATAGCCGATCAGGATACGGAAGGATCGCGGGTTTGAGTCTCGTCGCGGGTATGAGTATGTTTGTGCGACTGTCGTCCATTCATTCATTAACATTATCATTCCATATTTCCAGGACTAGCAATCCTGGGGTATAAAAATTGGATTCAGCATAATCTGATCCTGATCAGTATAATGCTAAAAAGGAATCACATAACCTTGGTAGACCAATTGGCAAACCAAAATAAAATAATAATAATAATAATAATAATAATAATAATAATAATAAACTCCAATGTTCTCACTTAAATATGTACTCTCACTAGCTGTGCACATTTTCCAGAGTTCACGGGAAAATATATTTATTCAAACAATCGCTCTCCATTCGCTTTCTCGCAGCAATAAACCGATTACTTCACAAAGGGAACGATCAGAGATAATAGCCTAAATCTCTCAGTTTTGGCTTTGTAAATAGCTGTTACTACATGTAAGCGAATATTTTCTTATCAATTGTTGCCAATAACACCCTTTTCCACCCGTATTAAAAATTCAACTTAGGGATCCCAAAATTCAATACATAATGTTCACAGAATACACATCTCCCTAAAGTATATCGTGCTCAGTTTTTAACTATTTTGATTTTTAAATTAAATAAATAAATAAATAAATAAATAAATAAATAAATAAATAAATAAATAAATAAATAAATAAATAAATAAATACATCCGTACCTGAGCACACGAGAGGCGTACTCGCGCGGCCAGTGGAGGCGGCCGTCGCGGTCCAGGGTGCGCAGCAGTGCGTGCGTGGAGAGCAGGCCGCTCAGCAGCAGGAACGGGTCCGTGTACAGGCTGGCCCCGCGCGCCAGCACCGACCACATCTCACCCACGTTCTGCGCACACGGATATTCGCAGCTTTAAAGAAGGGCTTACCACAATCTTTCTTTTTTTATCGACCCTTTCGTAAACTATTTACCAGCTTTGAACAACTTCCCATCATAGAGCAAAATTATTGTTTTTATATAGTTTTGTTATTAAACATATTCATCACAACATGAAATAAATGAATGAACCAAGAAAACAAATTTCATTATTATATAATTTCACATGTAAATGTATTATCGTTTGCATTTGCCTTTGAGAGTTCTTAGCATATTTTGGAAGAACTCGGTCATTGAAACACTCCTAACAAATGTCAATGAATTCGTTATTATATATCGTTTGATTTATTTTTCGTGACAAATTCCAAAGACGATGAATTCCGCTCAGGACAAATACGTGTATTTCGGGGAGTAACCAGTTTGAAGCAGACCTCAATTGAGAATGAATACAATACTAATAGTTTCGGGCCAGTAACACTAATGACATTGAACAAATGACGTGACACGTTAGTGTGCCACGTTAAAGTTGCAATGGGATGTGAAATATGGTGTTTAGAATCGCACCTTCACTGACTGCTTATCTTCATCTGCGACACGAACAGACAAGCTTCTGAAATTAAATTTGTTCTCTGGAATCTCGGGGGAAAAAAGCTTTCAAACGATAATTCGAATCGTTCGCGTTCGTCTCTATCATTCATATGTATTCAGTGAGAAATCGAGAAAAAGTAGAAAGATATTTCAATTGTAACTTGCAATGAGATCCTTTTGAACAATCGCTGCAAGCTTTCGAAATGAACACATATTATAGTGTGATGCATGGGCAAAAGAACTGAATAGGTAGACAAATCAATTCGAGACCATATAGGTAACGTCATTCGGAAAGGTTATGTGGAATCTAGGTTGCATAAGGAGACCTCGTCTGGCAAAAATTATTGCTTTTGAAGCAAAAGGTAGAAAACAATAATGGGAAGAGGTAGATATATTAAAAACTGAGGTAATATATGAATTTATGGGATTTAGTCCATTGTTATTCTTGAGAGGTGGATAAAAGATTGTTATGTTTTCTCCAACCACAGGAGAATTTGCAGAATTTGGTTATACTTTTTTTAAAGAGAGAGTTCTAAAAATAAGTGTATCTCAGACTAAGTGTATGAACAACGGTATATCTATGAACAAACAGGTGTGAACGAAGTTTTCTATTGACATTTCTTACATCTACTCAACATGCTATTGAGACTCAATTTTCTTTCCATTGCATGTGATTTATGATTTTGATATATTAATGAGTAAATTTCTGGGGTATACAGAGTGTAATTGTACCAATTTATTTTTTTCCAACAGCCTGTGTGCTTTAAGTTCTGAATGCAATGAGCAGAACTATACTAGAGAAACACAGCCTTTTTTTACTTTAATATAAATTTTGATCAGTTCCTTGATATAACTTAAGTTATGAAAGGGTCCCACTGATCGAAAAGTCACCAAAGAATTTTGATGAAATAAAAATTGTTTGAAATCTGAGACTTGTAATTGATCCTCAAGACTATACTTATGTAATACAATGCCAGAGAAGCACAACGAATCCGGAGATACGAATCCGGCTAACAGAAGAAATAATTAACGTGAAAGAATCGTGGGGTAAAGGAATCAGACTGAAAACAATTTTTTCTATTCAGTATTCATTCAGCTCAGAGCAGACTGTTCATGTATTTTTACTTTCTTGTATACAGACGTATTGATAGTGTATAAGTCCGTCTGTATATATGGTAATCGTCCGCCTGTCCGTCCGTCGGTGAACATCACTAGCGCCTAAACCATACGTAGTTTTTTCCCAAAATGGATATTCCCCTATCTGACTCGAGTCGAAGCTTTACGAATTTGAAAAACATTCTTTAAAATTTGGGTGTACTTTACATGAAGCCCCTGGGACATTTTCAAAATTTCCCCCCAAATATCTCCAAATTGTTTCTTTAAAATGTTTGAAAGACTAGAGTAAAATACATTTATATAGCTGGCATATGATCGTTTTCACTGTTAACTCTGAATTTTCGAAAATTTCTAAAGTTTGAAATTATTCCAGCGTCTTCCTATAACCACAAAATTAAAGATAGAGATGTTTCCTTCGACTAAAATTTGTTCTTCAAATTTTGTTATTTCATGTTCATTTCAGTGTTAATGGCACTGTATAAAATGACATTAAAGTATTTTTGATGTATATTTTTGTTTTAAAAAAATACAAAATGCAATTTTTTTGAAACTTTTCTCACGCCATTAATATGCACATTTCCCGAAATTTGTATATATTATTGCATATGTGAGTGGCAGTGATTCAAATGACGTTTTCGAAAACTCAATAGTTTTCTGTGAAAAAGAGGTTCAAATTTCGCATTCATGGTAACTCGACAACATTTTCTTTAAAAAGGCTGCAAATTTTTCAGTGAAAATTGCTCTTTCAGACGCGGATTTACTCTCTTTTAATACTTTAAGAGTAGCATTTCGGTTTTATTGTTAAAAAACCAAAAAATTGAGGAAATGTACAAAAAAATCTACCTCGGGTGGCTACTATACTGACACTATATATGTATATTTTGTAAATATAGTGTGTTTTGTTCATTCTTGCCAGCTGTCATCTATCGCCACCCGAAGTGTATATATATATATATATATATATATATATATATATATATATATATATATATATATCGTATGTATCGTTTTTTTTGCAATGGTTTCGTATTTTTGACTAACTAATCCCCATGAACCGCTGTATAAATAATAGTGGAGTAGTAAATCACTAGCATTCTATATAGATATACCACACAAACGTAGTAAAAATACCTACAAGCAAGGAACGAGGCAGCCCCAAAACCCAAAAACATTCTCGCAGCTAATCCGTTTACTCGGGATTTTACGAGTCCGTATCTATATCCTGTATCATACACGCATAGTCTTTTTCTTACTCGGTTTATAAATTCTGTTATCTCTCTTTGCTTTTCACGCTTCCTTATCTTACCCTGGATACTAGCTCACTTCATTGGGACTTTTCCAGCTTGAACTGGTTGCTCTTAGTGGTTCATAATGAGTGTTCCGTGGCTCATTCATTAGGAACAAGATCGACGATTGTGTAAACAACACAATGAAAGGAGGAAGAGAGGGTCTACTCTTCCATTGCCACGCAAAATTTCGAACGAATTAAATAATGTATAAAATAACTATATTTATTACTTTAAATCTTATTGCAATAATTAACAACAACAGCAACAACAACAACAACAACAACAATAATAATAATAATAATAATAATAATAATAATAATAATAATAATAATAATATTAATAGTATTAACAACAAGTAGCACTCGAAACAAAATTGTGGGTCACTAGAGATTAGAAATTTGTTACAAAACGAAGTGCTCTTTATTTTAATTATAAATAATTACACCTTCAAACACAGCAAAGAATTCGACAAGTGTCTGTAGAAGTATTCAGGAGAACTTCGCCAATCCGAAACCCGAAATTTCGAATAATTCGAACAAAATTCGGAATGGAGGAAAAATAAACAAAATGCTTAATTGTAGTGTAAAGAAAGTATTTTATAATTACTGTAGAACTGAACGACTTATTATTGAAAATCAAGTTGTCGAAATGAAATTATTGGACTGGTAATTACGTTGTATATCACATGTTTGTGTAGCAGTAACTTTCACTTAGAAGAACGTGCAAAATCGATAATCTTCTTTTGCCGCAAGAAACTGAATATGCTTGATGATGCGATCGCTACGCTACGTTGAAATTTTCCCATATCGCACCCTACGAGTACGTTGCATTTTCTGGTAATCCTTTAGATGTATTTGTATACATACTATACATTTTTCGGAAAATCCGCACATTTCCGGATCCGACCACACTCCTAATTAGTTCGGATTACCGGGCATCTACTGAATTTTGCAATATAATCTATTCTCAAGAAAGGTTTAGCTCAAGAAAAAAATAACAAGAAAGGACTATGATATTTTGGAATTTAATATCTAAATCCATGCGGAATGTAGTAACTAATTCTACACTAACTTGCGCTACGGAAAAAATATCCGTTTAAAGAAGATAACAATTGAACTACCAAGTGACAGTTAGTGGTTATTTCATAAAATATATTTCATTGCGGTAAATGTCAAAAGGCATTTCTAAGTTCAAAATCCTTCATATATATCTCGAAAATATTTACTAGGTACGATATCTCTTTTCACTAGACATCGTATGATCATGTAGATTCAAATTTCTTACTGAAGACTTCCACACCTATTATAGACTAAAAATGTCACATGTTTTGAATGCTTCCATAAGAACAGAAACATTCCCAGATAATTGTAATCAACAAGGCATAAACCGTTCAAAAATGAAATAAAAACAGTATTGAATCTATTGGCAAATTGCCATTTATTCTATCTCCCTTAAATTACGCGATATAAAGAACGTATTGTAATGCTGCAGAAAAAACGGTTTGTGAGTCCCTGATATTGAAAAACTGGACAACTCTTGTTTCTAATGAAGAGAACAAATTCCTCTAATATGAACCAAGACAGATTTTTTTTCAAATCCTAACATTTGCTAATTGTCTATACATTTCTATTAAATATGAAACAAATCTTAATAAAACTGTACACGAGAAAACAATTGAAGTGAAATTGCACATTACAAAACAATTGAAATATTGTGAGTGACAAATTATGAATGTAAGAACAGATATTTCATTAGACTTGTTAGTGGAAAGGATGACACTTTTTTGTTACAAAGAAGTTTTTTTTATGTTGGGAGAGTAGAATGGGACAGACTTTCAAACACAGTTGTTCAAATGTTCATCAGTGATTCTTTTTCTGTACTTGTTTGTGCTCTGTAGAACAAGGCTAGTCAACCAGGTCCAGGTTAGTCAACCTTGAGCATGATCATGATCCATCGAAAATTACGATCTATTAGATAGATTTATTATTTCTGCGGGTAGGTATTCAACCTGGTGGCAGA